TCCTGCTTTTGTCGAGGAATGATTATCTTCTTAAGTTTATACTACTCTTTGTAATCATGCTTCTCTTTCTTTCTAATATAACTTCACTGCAGAGATTCTTCTTCTTGGCTGTGGGAAGTACATTCAACCGGTAAATCCTGAGCTACGTGCCTTTATTCGTTCTACTGGAATGAAATTGGAAGCAGTTGATTCTGTAAGTATACGGTTCTTTGTTTATTATGAAAATGATGTGCCAAAGGAAGGGGATTGATGTGCACCATTTAGTAACTAGTTATCAGATTGTGTGGATATATGAGATGGTTAGCCATAGAAGTTCTGAGCAATATTTATTCTTGTTTTACTGCTCATACCCCCACCGTTGACTCAACATCTCTGGAACTTTTTGTCCAAAACTACAATTGGAAGATGTAAGGTGGATTTCTTTGACATTCCTGGACCCAGACCAAAGGAGTTTAAATACAACTAGATTAACCAGCAAAAGGAAACCAGAACATTTAATATTTTTTATTGGTTAGTAAATTTCAAATGAGCATTATGGTAGGCATAAACATGTCAAGATATTAGCCAATGTTTTGTAAGTAGTTTTTCTCTTCCTCTATTCAAAATTTTCAATTTTGTTTGAACATACTATTTCCTATTCATGTGATTCTTCACAAAATATTCTGCTTAGGTGTTCTGAGCCTATAACTGAATGACACATGTTTTGGTAGATTGATATCAGACTACACATGAAAAATTAATTGCTCTCTGAACTCTAAAGGCTTGCTTTGCCAGCCTGTTGTTTATTAGATAAGCGCAATATTGTGTTTACATATTTCCTGATCCGAGCTTTTTCTTCTTTCTCTCATCCATTTTATATTTGCTTACATTCCTTATTTCATCTATGTTGCAGAGAAATGCTGCATCAACTTACAATATTCTAAACGAAGAAGGTAGGATTGTGGCTGCTGCCCTTCTCCCATATGGAGTAGAGTCATAAGCCTCTCATGTACATGGTTTTTCTTTGACGAGTGAATATCTGATTAATCATCCAAGCCAATCACTTTGTCCCGAGTTTGACGTGACCATGTTTAAGATTTGATGAAAATGAGATAATAACATTACATGTTAATGGTGTGTTAGAAGCTTCTGGGTATTCCTGGACCAACTATCTTTAGGAGATTGTACTTCAAATAACATAAACACAGGAAAAGAACTGTTGTTTACCCTTAGTAGAAGCTTGAGGTTCATCTGTTGTGCAAGAAGAATCTATATTTATCAGATTTAGGCAGGGTCGGTGAAATTGTGAATAGTGATTGCAATTGTTTACCAAATATGTCCTGTTTCCTGACATGCTTTTGTTGTTGTGACGTGTGAGTTACTGCCTTGAGCGTTCTTGAGAATTGGATATTAGATTGAACATTATGATTCGACCTGGTTTTTAATGTTGGTGCAATTGATTTCATCTTGGAACTGGTAAAGTCTAAAGAAATTTGTCTGTACTTTTTTCGAAGTGTATAGCTTGGACACCATTGTAACTACAATGAAATAAATTATGCACGCTTGCAAATAATCATTCAAGAATACAACTATAGAATAAAATAAAATAAAATTAAATAGCAGATACTGTCGACTTCCTTGTATCATCTATCGACTCCTCCATATCCACGCTTGGGTAAAGTGGATACTTGCCTGAAAAACAAGCATAACAAAAGTTTGTATGATCACTGCCTAATAACTTACGAAAGCTATCAGTTGGCAAAAAGGCTAAAGAATCTGCCCCGATAAACTTCCTTATCTCCTCCACGTTCATCCTGTTAGATATCAATTCCTCTGTACAAGGAGTGTCTATCCCATAGTAGCAAGAAGCTATGATTGGAGGACTTGCAATCCTCATATGAACCTCTTTTGCCCCTGCCTCCTTCAACATCCTCACAATCTTTGACGAAGTCGTTCCTCTAACGATTGAATCATCCACAACCACCACTTTTTTCCCTTCCAATACTGCTCTAACCGGTGAGAGCTTAAGCTTCACCCCGAAATCTCTAATCTTCTGAGATGGTTCGATAAATGTCCTGCCAACATAGTGTGATCTTATTAAGCCTTGTTGATATGGTACCCCTGTTTTGGCTGCATAACCAAGTGCTGCTACAACACCTGAATCTGGAACTGCTATCACAACATCACAGCCCTCCACAGGGGACTCTGTAGCTAGAATTTCCCCGAAAGCATGTCTAGACTCATACACTGACTTCCCAAATACTATTGAATTAGGCTGAGCAAAGTAAATATGCTCAAAGATGCAAGATTTAGGCTCAGGAGGATGAGGCTTCAATAGATACATCGATTGAGGTTCGTTACTAGTATCATCAACTAGCACCATCTCACCAGGATGAACCTCCCTTTCGTACGTAGCCTCAACCATGTCCAAAGCACATGTCTCCGAGGCAAAAACTATAGCACCATTCTTCCTCCTACCCATAACCAATGGCCTAAACCCAAACGGATCCCTTACTGCAACTAACTTACCATCCTCCGTCACAAACACCATGGAGTAAGCTCCCTGGAGTTTCTCGCAAGCCTCGAGAACCCTCAAAGCAAAAATCCTCGCCTTTGATTTTGCCATAAGATGAAGTACCACCTCCGTATCAGAAGTGGTACTGAAAATTGAACCCTTCCCCTCAAGTTCAGCACGAAGCAATTGATAATTGACAAAATTACCGTTGTGTGCAACACCAAAAGATCCAAATTTAGAACTCGCAACAAAAGGCTGAACGTTTTTCAGCATTGAAGAAGAGCCAGCAGCAGTAGAATACCTAACATGACCAATAGCCATGTCACCTGGAAGTTGATCAAGTTTCAACTCGTTGAACACATCAGATACCAATCCAATACCTGTAATCGATTTAATAGCTTTATTTTCAACAGTAACCATACCAGCACCTTCCTGACCACGGTGCTGAAGGGCGTGCAGCGCCAAATAGCATAAACGCGAGGCCTCTGGATCACCATAGATACCAACCACTCCACACTCTTCCTTGGGTTTGTCATCGTCTAAATAATGTTGATCCAAATTGATTAATTTACGCGACGAATTAACGACCATAGCTGCCCTGTTCTTCTTATTAGAAGAAGTGATCAAAAGACATTGTTGTTGGTATGGTTTAGTTAGGATGTTTTTATAGAATTGAGAAGGTGGAAACGACAAGAGGCGTTGGCTGAGTAGATTGGTGGTGGAAGAAGCAGAAGCAGAAATATTGGTAGCCATGGCTGGCGGGAAGAATTACAAAGCAGACTGGCAAAACCAAACAAAACAATGAATATATGGGAAAAAAGAGATATATTAGTTGAGTTGGGTTTCTAATGATGGAAGTAAAATAATAACAAAAAATTATTTGTTGAACATATTCTTTTAATTTTGTTTAGGGTTTTTTAATTTTCCTTTTTAAAATAAAACTTCATTATAATGTCACGATTATTTTCTTCTTTAATATTTTCACTTTTCTTGATGCTTTGCAACTCATGTGTTCACGTCTGAAATTAATATATTGGCTACATATAGTTGATATAAATTGGCAAAAGTGTGAGCTTTTTTTTCGTGTGCAACTCATATAAGCATTTTTGCTATTATCTACCATTAATTATTCATCGCAATCTTTTATAATATTATTATTCCATTATTTTATTATTTAATCCATAAAAAGAATTTTAGATCTATAAATAGTGACATTTTTTAAATAAGTATAATGAAAATTATGAAAAAATCTTATAGTAAGTAGTGAGATTAGTGTAATAAAGTAAAGAAAAATATTTGAAAGTCTTCCAACTCATTCATTACTCAGAGAGAGAAAAATTGTAATAGAAGTGTTTTTGTGGTTGAATCTCCTTTCAAGAGAATTCTGTGTGAATATTTATTTAAGTATTATTTTTGTTTATTTTATTTTGACTTATAATTTGTTACTGTTTGTAGTACATATATCAATATTATTTGTAAGAACATATTTTTTATATTTGAACAAATATCATTTCGAAGATCGACCTGAGATACATTTTTCTCATTTTTCAAATCAGACCTAAAAAATATTTTCATCATTTTAAAAATCAATGCTTATAGGTACAATCTTGCATTTTTCACATTTTACTACGTATATATTTTTTCATTCAAACTAAAAATTATAAAAATAAAAAACTAGCTTCACAAGTTTGATAATAATGTGTATTTTTTCTCGGTGCATTATAATGTGAAAATGTAATATATTTGTGCAATATTAAATAATCTTTTTTGGTAGACAAGAATATATATTACATATATAATTAAGCATTAAGCAGTATTAAATAGTTAATATATACTTATTAAAGAAAATTACTTTTGATCTAGTAGAGAAAAATATTTATCCAACGTAATTCAATATAAGATTTTATAGTATCATATTCAATTAAATTCGTTGTTTTGAGTAGTACTTTCTCTTAAAACATACTTTTAAAATTGTATAAATTATCATTGCTGAAGAAAAGAAACATAAGACCTTCATGATTTAATTTTTCATGTTATTCTCAATACATTGAAGTAATTATTTATAAGTCAATTACTTGATCGTTACAGTTGTTCTAGTAGAAGAATAACTTGGGCACCAAGGTTAGTAACTTAAGCACCAAGGTTAGTAACTTAAGCAAATAAATTTGTTATAGTAGATGACCTCGTCTAAACTGTGATATTGCCTATTTTATAATAATATATACTTATTAAGAAAATTATACTCAATATTTAATAAAAGATAATATTTACGAAACATAATTCAATAAAATATTTAATATAATTAGGTTAAGATGATTTAATTTATATTTGTGTATATGTATATTTAATATAATATATTACTATTCACTTTTATATAAGGTTAAGAAATTATTATATTGTTTTTCTTCTTCAAATACAAAATTTTCTTATTATGAATAGGGTTAAAGGGTATAGTATTTGTACCCGACCCGTTTACCCAGAGCATTATAAACCCTAACTTACCTCCTTGTGCCTGCACAATACATTGTGCTCTATCCCTAAAGGTCTAATCTCAGTACCTCTCCTTCAAAGTGGCTATCTTCGCACCTTGTCATAGACGAATTGAGCACAGAAAAAAAGTTAAGCAAAGAGCATAAAAGTTGAATTCAATCATGTCGGAAGTGGTTTCTATGGATGAAATCAGAGCTATATCTGAGAGGCTTGGTGTGGATCTTGCAAAAATCAATCTGGACTCTATTCATCTTCCTCCTGGTGATGATATGGGGATACCCAGGTCTGAATCTTGATTTTTTCTTGCACTTTTATGTGCTTCTGCTACTTTACTGTAAAGTGTGTAGTTTTTTGTTTCATTGAGGCGAGGTCTTAATTTTTTTTTAATTTCTTGAGTTTGAATTTATGTCTTCGGTTGATCGTTTTGAAAAAATTAGAAAGTTTTAGCGTTTTTACTGGGTTTGTTGGATTTATTATCGTATTCATATCCAGTTCAATGTATTAAGTTTTCATATCGACTGTGTTTCTCTTACCGTTCTTCTAAATTATGTTGTGAAGATTTGATTTGATTTATATATCGATTCTTATGTGTTCTGCTTAGTCTTGTTTCTTTTGTTTACGTGTATAGTTATTTTTGGTTTCTCAATTGCTATGTTTTTATTACTTTTTGTGGGTCTTGAATTTGTGATGTGACGAGGGCAGTGACGATGAAGACTTGTTGAAGGAGGACGCGTTGGAGGAGGATCAAGGTTTTGGAAACATACTGGTGGTGGATAATCTTCCAGTTGTGCCTAAAGAGAAATATGAGAAATTGGAAGGAGTAGTTCGGAAAATTTACAGCCAACTTGGTGTTATTAAGGAGGGTGGTCTCAATATGCCTGTTGATCCTGTGACTCAGAAAACACTTGGGTACTGCTTTATAGAGTATAATACTCCTCAGGTACTCCAATTTGTCTCTTTTAGCAGCGATAGAGGATCTCATTTTTATAGACAGAATGCTTGACACTTGTAACGGAATTGTTTAGAGATGTGATTTATTAATTCTTTTACCATCTTTATGTTTGTGATAGGTGATGAATATGTTGTCTCGACTTTTGTTGTCTCGACTTCTGTTTAGTACTTTCTATGTGCAAATCTCTTACTTAGCCTAGGAAGAATATTAATCCTTGTGTCTCATATTAGGTGACACTCTTTTTTTAGGCAGTCCAAAAAAGAATGACATCTTTCTATATTTAGTAACAATTTAATTATAAAATGCCCATCATTATCCCTAATGAGATGATTTGTAGCCACACAAACAAATACTTGTCTCTTATTTTAGACCACAAGTCTCTGAAGTTTTCCTTTCCGTCTTAGGCACCGTACCTAGTCAAGTGCCATCACATAAATTGGGACAAGGGGCATGTGATTATGAGTGAATAAAAGATGTAAAAATGGAAATTCCAGCTTAATAGTAAAATGCTCACAGGCTAGCACCATGTCATCTACACTGAGAAATTGTGAAGTTTCATAACCTCTGTTTAGTTAGATGATGATTATAAACATGTCTTGGCTGCATCCTAGATTTGTTATACTCTTAAGTCGTGCTTGTGTGATGTGGATATGAGGAACTTGTATGGTTCAAATGTTGTGATCCATGGATTACTAAGTGCAGGAAGTTGGTCAGTGCTCACTTGTCTATCCACTTATTTTTTTAAATTGTTATATCCAACTATGAACTAAAAGGTAGAAATGGATCTGTGTGTGTTGTTGTTGGAGGTCTAGACAATGTAGGAGCTGACATATCTAATTTCATTTGGCTAATGATCATCATGTTGCTATGTTTTCCTGCTTTAGGAAGCTGAGCTGAGTAAGGAGAAGACACACGGATACAAGTTAGATAGGTCACATATATTTGCTGTTAACATGTTTGAAGACATTGAGAAGTTCCTGAAAGTTCCAGATGAGTGGGCTCCACCAGAGATCAAGCCTTATGTTCCAGTGGTTAGTCTCTTCACCAGCTCTGTGTTTTTCGTCAGCCATCACAGAGTCTTAAATGCTAGTGTCAGTTTTTCATTAGTCTACTATTACTGAGATGTTTGTGTTGATGGCAGGAGATGCTGCAAAAGTGGCTTACTGATGACAAAGCTAGAGATCAGTATGTGATTCGGTCTGGCGGTGACACAGAGGTCCTCTGGAATGATGCAAGACAAATGAAGCCTGAGCTTGTTTATAAACGTCCTGTAAGGAGACTTCTGTTCTCGTTTTGCTCATTTAGCTGTCAACGCATGGTTGTTCTTATTTGTGCGGTTTGGCATCTCATATTTTCAAAAAATGAAATGCTTCTGTACAGAACCTTCATCCTTCAAAGGATGTTTCTTTCTTTTATGCAGATGGGCTATTACTAATCTTTGCTAATGATGTCTTCTTGAGTGCAGTATTGGACTGAGAGTTTTGTTCAATGGTCCCCTATGGGTACCTACTTGGCAACAGTTCACAGACAAGGCGCTGCAATTTGGGGTGGTGCCACCACTTTCAACCGCCTCATGCGCTATGCACATCCTCAGGTTAGTTTTGTGCTTATTTCTCTGAATAAACTTATGCAGGTTTCTATGACTTAAATCTACAGAATTTAAATGCAGGTAAAGCTGATTGATTTCTCCCCTGGTGAGAGATATCTGGTGACATATAGCAGCCATGAACCAAGTAACCCTCGTGACACTCACGTAAGTCTGAGCTTTATGTTGTTTGTAAACCCAATTGTGGCCATACTATGTCCTCTCTAATACAGATTCTTTCAGAGGGTTGTGCTAAATATTTTTGATGTGAGAACTGGAAAAGTGATGAGAGATTTCAAGGGAAGTGCTGATGAATTTGCAGTTGGAGGAACTGGAGGTGTTACTGGTGTGTCCTGGCCAGTCTTTAGGTGAGGTTTGATCCTATTGTTGGAGGCATTTCCTATGCTTCTCTACCACCTCTTTCAGTGACTCCTAACATTTGCATGCTTGATTGTATACTTAGATATGGGAGACTTAAAAATACAATGAAAAATGAATGGTGGGATACTCTTTAACCTTCTTTTTTAAAAACGATTTCAGGTGGAGTGGTGGTAAAGAGGATAAGTATTTTGCAAGAATAGGAAAGAATGTCATCTCTGTTTATGAAACAGAGACTTTCTCACTTATTGACAAGAAATCTATCAAGGTTGAAAATGTTATGGATTTTAGCTGGTCACCAACAGATCCAATTCTTTCACTCTTTGTTCCTGAATGTGGAAATCAACCTGCCAGGGTTTGTTCTAGAACTTCTGTGCAAGTTGCCTGTAATTTGGTGGAACTACTCATATTTGTATTTGAACTAAACCTGTGTTAAATTGACAGGTAAGTCTTGTGCAAATCCCAAGTAAAGAGGAGTTGAGGCAAAAGAATCTCTTCAGTGTGAGTGATTGCAAAATGTATTGGCAAAGCAATGGAGACTACCTTGCTGTCAAAGTTGACCGGTACACAAAGACCAAGAAAAGCACATACACTGGTTTTGAGCTTTTCAGAATCAAAGAACGGGATATTCCAATTGAGGTTTTGGAGCTTGACAACAAGAATGATAAAATTATTGCATTTGCTTGGGAGCCTAAGGGTCACAGATTCGCTGTCATCCACGGTGACAACCCCAGGCCAGATGTCAGTTTCTACTCTATGCGGTCTGGCACTAACACGGGCCGTGTTTCAAAGCTGACAACTCTCAAGGGAAAGCAGGCTAATGCTCTCTACTGGTCACCTGGAGGCCGCTTCATTATTTTAGCTGGAATGAAAGGTTTCAATGGACAGTTGGAATTCTTTGACGTCGATGAGCTTGATACCATGGCATCTGCTGAGCATTTTATGGCAACAGATGTCGAATGGGATCCAACTGGAAGGTAGTAGGATTTTGCTCTCATCAGCTTTGCCCTGTAAGACCTTTCTATTTGGTCCTTACGTTTTTCCATTTTGCAATTATAGGTATGTAGCGACAGCTGTTACTTCAGTTCATGAGATGGAAAATGGATTCAACATCTGGTCTTTCAACGGAAAGCTGCTGTATAGGATACTCAAGGATCATTTTTTCCAGGTAATAATCTTACCATGTGTTTTTTGCAAGAAAAAGCCTAAATAGTTCCTTATTTTTGGGCTTGAAACTCAAAATCACCCTTGTTCCTTTTCTTTATAGAGCACAAATTGTCCTTATTTTTTAACTGGAAAAATCTAGTGTGAACGTACTTCCACCCGTCATTTATTAGAATCTGCTCTGCCATCAGCGCGTTGCTTACTGCACTTTTTCCCCATGTTGTATTACTGTGTATTTACTCTTTCCATTTTAATAGATGTAGCAAGGATATCATAAAGAGTTGCTTTTAAGTTAAAAAAGACTAGAAATGTGAGATTAGAAGCGGCTAATAGCCAGTTTTGTGAGATATATCATTTCTCTAATCTCTGTTCAAGATGTCACAAGCAAGTAGTTATGATTAAAGGTTGCAATTGCGTGGTCAGTGGTGTATGTTAGGTGACTGCTCTAGGGCTGGGTTTATGATAGTTAAATGTGCTAGGACTTGTGTTTCTCAGCACTTTAGGTAGCTCTCCTGCAGGTTTTACTTTGCATTTTGCACATTGGAACACTAAGGTAGGTACCACATTTTTACTAGTTTTGTTAAATGTGTTGCAACCTGTCATCTTTACTATGTCTTCTTGTAATTGCTGTGCGGTTGAGCTCAGTTTGACTATGCGTTTTTTTCTTTTTCTGAAGGAATATGCTTATATATCCACTACATGATACATTCTATACTCAAATATCACATTGCTTCTTGTTTGTACAGTTTTTGTGGCGCCCTAGGCCACCATCCTTCTTAAGTAAGGAGAAAGAGGAAGAGATTGCTAAGAACTTGAAGAAGTACAGCAAGAAGTATGAAGCAGAGGATCAGGATGTTTCATTGCTGTTGAGCGAGCAAGACCGTGAGAAGCGAAAGAAGCTGAAAGAAGAATGGGAAGCATGGATTAGTAAGTGGAAGCGGTTGCATGAAGAGGAGAAAATGGAGAGGGAAAAGTTGCGTGATGGGGAAGCCAGTGATGAAGAGGAGGAATACGAGGCGAAGGAAGTTGAAGTAGAGGAAATACTAAATGTTGAGGAGGTGGTTATTCCTTTTGAAGATAGCCAACAGTGAATCCAAGTAGTTTGAGAATCCCCAGCATTTTCTGCGACAGCCACGAAAGAGAAACAAACTGAGTTTAGGTAGGAAGGATATTTGGTTTAAAACGCTTCCCCTTTTTTTTTGTTTTTTTCCGACTCATTTTCTTTCATTTCATTGCTTGTTGGTTATATTGTCTGTCTGTCGGTCAGAAATTCCTGTTGCCAATGTGCAATAAATTTGATTACAGAAACCTTTTCATTATATTTTTGTTGGGTATTTTTCCTGCCAGTTGGTGATTAATGTGCAAATGTAAGGGAGTATATATTAAAATTGTGCATAATACACTGTTCACTACATAAACATACATTTTAAGCCTTTGAAAGTTTCATCCAACTTTACCCAATTACCTGAACATCATAGCTAAGAGGCAAAACATCATTTCTCTCTTCCTCAGTTTTCATAGATCCATTACCAGAAACCAAAACCTTTCCTGATCAGACATAACAATTTCTATCTGAAAAAATATATATACTCGACATACCCAATGCCTAGAATGAAAATCATGTCGACAACGAAAAGGTATTTACGTCATGTTTCTAATAATACAAGTCTTAATTCTTTTTCTTTTCACCTACACAATTGTGTTCGATCTTTTTGAGCTGATGTTCTCTTATATAGAAAAATCTGAACATTGAAATTCAAATCTGAAAGTAATTTCAACAGAATCTTCCAACAAATCCCCTGTTTCTTTCTCTATACATGGATTTCCGTATATATTTCACCTGATTTTGTATGTGTCTAGGTATATTAATATCAGTTCAATACAAGAATAGGGGTAAGTGGTCACTCCCATAGTGTAAATTGCTTTTCAGGTTAGGGACTGAATGAGTATTTTTCATATTCTCTGGTGAGAGAAGGTTGTGTGATGAACCTATGGCGGTACTTCACTTCAGAAACGAATTTTAGTTGGCCAGTTTGATAATGAAGGGAGTTTGAGAATTCTCACAATATAACAGTTTTTACTTAGTTGGCTAAATGCAACAATAGATACTGGCTCCATGCTTTTGCCTTTTCTTACGTAGGAAAGAAAAATACTGGTCTATGACATATAATGCCTCCAAAACTGAAGATGCAAATTTAAAATTTAGACCAATGCCAATCATTTCGCTTACTGATGAAAGTGTAAAATATTCTAGCCTTTAATCCAACAAATCATCAGACATTCTTTGATAGGCTTGGTCTTGAACTTCATTTCTCAATAGAATTCTCTGTTTTTTACAAAAGAATCGGGGGTGTGGTCTCAATATTTACATTTACATTAGAGAAGTAGATTTTGCCCTAATTTACATGACCGCAAATCGCAAAATTGGATGCAATATCTTTATCATCATCTCAGGTTGGAGCATCTTCTCAATTCTGGTTTATGAGCAATATCCTTCTTGGAGACGCTTAAAATGCCACCTTGTTCTTCCACCTTCTCAATAAGAAGCTTAAGCAGAGGCACATTCGACAGCGTAATGCATGAACCTACCATTATCAACTTCTTCTGTTCAATCAACAAAGAGAAGTACATTATTACTTAAGAGTCGGGATGAACTTGTGCAAGAAGTTTCAGAAAGAAGAAAAATTCCATTCAGAGAAACCGTATCTAAACCTTGGCACGAGTAAGAGCCACGTTAATCCTGTGCCAGTCTCCAAGCAATGAAGAAATGTAGTTCCTTGGATTCTCACTTGACCTTACGAAGGAAAGCAGAATGCAATCTTTATCTCTTCCCTGCAAACATAGATTAAAACTAGGACAATTAGGAGCAGCAAGGTACTACTTTCTACCTAAGAGCAAAGTGGCTAAGACATTAGCAGTCACATTATTTGATGCAACTGCAAGACATCCTCAAGCCACAGCAAAATGACTCTACAAGCAAGCAGAGCAGATTGGATTATTCATGATTTACAAACGAGCTTTTGTGAGGCTAACAACTGGCACAAAAAAATCTTAAACGTTTGAGGACAGATGGGGAACCAATTGTACGAGGACTTAAGTAGCTTTATCTAGGGCCAAGTCAACATTGGACGAAAGCTAGTGTCTCTGAAGTAGCATTGTTAGATTGGAATTCTTGTTTTGGGCTTGGGTGTTGTGAAGCATTAGGCTTCCGGATTTCTGTTTCATAAATGGAAAGCCAGCCATTTTTCTGCCTTCTTTCAGCTGGCATTCAGGATCCTATAGCCATATCAAAACCATATACTAGACTAACCAAGTATATAATTGACAACTACTAAACCTGTCAAAGGATAACCTTAGACAACTATGCTTCTATTTAGGCTGGTCTACTGAATTTCTTTCCCTTAAATTATCCCGTTCGGTAAAGCAGCTTCTTCTTCTGAACAAGAAAAGTTGAAAACTGAAGATGTTTTTCGAGAATGTAATCACATCAGCAAAAATATTACCTGGTATTTATCAATTGTATGTATCTCCACTGATGTGGAAACAGCTTGCCGGATCAGATCTGCCTGAGAATTGTAGGGGGTAATGATGCCTATATCTTCCTCCAATATACCTCTGCTCAACAATCTACACACGATCTGTAGGCCAAAATAATCATACAGAAATTGGAGCTTAATATTTTCTTGTTATCTGATGATAGTAGTCATTAAAATGTTCATGGAAGAAACAAGAGGCATTCACACCTCGGCAATGATATTTGCTTCCACTGGGTTATTAACAGCTTTCCGGTCATTTGTTTCAAATGCAAGCAACAAATCTAGTTTGGAAACAAGGATGAGGCGACAGTTTAGGACAAGGACATTAAACTTCATTTGACAAGCCTGCATAATTTGACTTGAGATAGAAATTTGCCCAACCTGTGTTTACAAAGATGACGGGTCTGTTTGGATTCATAGCCTGTCAAAAGACCAATCAAACCAGATTACTTCACAGAATAGAAAAGCGAGCAGTTGGGGTGTCAACGCTCACAATTCATACAACATATTTTCTGGAAGGAATATAATTTCTTAAGATGAGGTCATCCTCGTCAAACATTGCTCATTCCAAATCACTGCACCAAATCTATACTTTACCTACATTCCCATCATGACCTTTGTACACAAAATTGAATGAGCAATATTTGACGAGGATGACCTCATCTTATTATTGAACTCCTTGTCATTGCCCCACCACTTTGTACAAAATTGAGAAACTGTGAACAGCGACAATATAATCTTCAAAAGACAAGAGAATTAACCAAATATTCTGTTTCATTAATACAAGGTTAGCGAAGAACATGTTTGTAGGGTATTTTGTTTTTCCCTTGGTTTAAACATATTATATCAACCAAATAATTATCCAAAAGCCTCACACATCACAAGTCGTACAGCTTCAGTTAGAAACTGGATCTTTTTATATTTCCGTGTTAGGACAGAAAAAGAATGGTAAAAGACGTGTCACAATGTATCTATATACCAGACGGAAACTCTAAAACTGGAGATGCACTAGGGTTTTACTTGACCCCTCTTTCATTTCAGTGCATATACTGTCTTTAGAAAAAGGAAAATTTTAGTGTGTTGTCACTCATCTAGATTACCGTTAATCAGCAATATTCACTAAAATAAGCACACTGAAAAAGTACATATAAATGAAAGCGTAATACTCTAAGATGACAGCTACACTGTGATTATGACATGTACATGAGAATATGACAAGACTTACTCCTTGAGAAGCAATTAGAAAGTGCAGATTAGTTTGTGAATGTCAGAAGAACAAAATTTGAGTATTAGCTTAGCAGAGAAGAACCAGCAGCTCAGACACTCAACTATTTACAGGAAAGAACTTATGAGTGCTCAAACAATGAAAAGTTACACGAGGTGTATAATTCCCATCCAAACATCAGTCATTTTTAGAAGGTGCAGGCCTCTTTGGAACATATATTGAATAAAGTAGCATCATAGTTGGAAGCAACCTCTATTTTCCAACCTATGTATTCTTTCCAGATGAGGCAGCCCTCTTATGTTTGGATCAGTACTAAAATAAAGCAGCATCAAACTTGGAAGCAATGAAATCAATTGATAGTACCTCCTTTATCCACTTAGGCCCAGATGGCAATCCTGTGTACTTGATTTTGGCATTTTCTACTTCAGAAGAACCACATCGCAATCTGTTACCATATATCAAGGTATTTGATAATTCCATTATCGCTGCACACATGCGGTACTGCAAGTTGTAGCATAGTAGTGGCAAATATATCAAACTGGACCAGCTTCAGAGGTGGAAGGAAACAACATCTTACTAAATTTTGAGGATACCTGGCTTTGCAAAGCACAAATTGCTTGGGGATGAGCTTCTGAGAGTCTGCAGAACAGGCTAACTGCCATTCCATATTCTCTAGCTTCTGCACTCTAATATGCAAACAGATTTTGTGTCACAAGTTATAATCGCATTGGAGCTAGCAGAGTAAATCAAGAAATACCTGGACAAGTGGTGGTAATTGATAATGATCCCCAACTAGAACAAATTTTGATGCAAATGTCAATGGTCCCAATGATACCTGGATTGTAAATCTAATATTGTCATTTGTTTTCCCGAAATGAATCTGTCATCTGGTGACACATGTAGTTTCATAAAATAACTAGCTATAGAAACATAGAAGAGAAAAGCACAGGAGGCTGTTACTTTAGCTTATATAGAACAACTGCAACCAATAAAGGCCAGAACTACGACAAGTAACAAGTTAACCTCATTCACTACCTTTATTGACCAAAATGTTCAAATCTTTACTGCAACGCAAACTATGAACATACCGGCAACGTAGTTTGTCCAGCTTCATCCATGATACACACATCAAATCTCTTGTTTGAAAGCAATGGGCTAGTAATCCCCAAACAGGTAACAGCAACAACTTTGCTTTGCTCTAGCCTCTGCTTTATCTCTTCAAGACCATGAGTGTCCATCACTGTAGGAGAAAGTCCAGAAGTAAGTATTCCATGGGGCAAATCATGAAGCAACTCTTTGAAAATGTTACAAGAAACCAACTTGATAAGCAATTCTCACGAACTTCCTCGTGCACAACCTCATATCTTCCAATACGTATAAAATCAATACCCTGCAACAGTATATATGTTAGTCCCACTGCCCCCCTGAAGTGGTACTTGGATTGTTATGTGTATATAAAAGCAGTTAAGCAGTACATCACTTGTGTCTTGTGGTTCAGTCAGCAAAGCATACCAGAGAGTAAAGCACTAGGAGAAATATATGATACTCATTACGCAGTAATAAGTTGTTGA